AAAACCCCCCCCCCCCCCCCCCCCAGAGTCTCAAATGGCGTCGCCACAGAGGGTATTATCGTCATAAAAGCAGACACCCAGTGGCATTTATGTCATTTTACAATCTCTGCTGTGAACTCACGCCAACATGTTGCAGAGACATTGCTGACTCAAATTTCTAAAAAACCCTTTTTGAAAAATAAAATACTTTTCGTATCAAATTATAATAATTAAAAAAAGAAAAAGAAAAAGAAAAAAGGAGTTTCTTTCTTACCTTCACCTCCTCATAGAGCTTCTTCTCCCAAGCCAAGAGCCGGTCCAATGTCGAACAGAGACTCTTCGAACCGCCCTGTTGGTCGAGCGAACCGATGTCGAGCCGGTACTTGACCGACAATGGCGGTTTCGAGGTCCAGGTCGAGCTCAAGGTGCTCAACACGCTGCTCGAATGGTACACCGTCTCTGCAAATTGTAACAATCAAATTTCAATTCAAATGATGGAAGAGAAGGCCGAGTTTCAAATTAAGAATTTCCGTTCAAAATGAAGAAATTAGGTTCGTGTTTGTTTCTTGAGAAATTGAGAGAGAAATAGGGAGGTGATTATGAGTTTCCAATTCATATGAAAATCTTTGATGATTTGATCGGGAATCGCTGAATTGGTGTTTGAGAAGTCGTTTGATTATGATAATTTGATCCAGAATTGCAGCATTTTGGTTTTTGAATGCGAAATTTGAAATCAGATAAAGAGATGGAAAATGAAGATAACTTTGAACTTACTTTTCAGCTGTCGGAAACTCTTATCCATCTGTGCTCTGCTAATCTCTAGCATCTTCGAGACTGAATCTCCTTCTACAGCCGCCTTCTCGAAGTTCTCTTTGAGAGCTTCAACAATTTCCCTCAAATCTTTGTGCCTCACAACCATTCTTAGGTCCGAGATCTCACCCGTCCGGAAGCTTTCGGCGAAGGAACCAGCGTCGTTGAACTTCTCCATCTGCGTCGTGTATTTGGCTGGTGGAGGAGGAGTCACTGGTTCGGGCGCGACTGACTCTGTTCGGATCGTGGATTCGAAATTTGACCGAGTATCAGCCTCTGATCTCAAATCGGCGTCTGTACCGTCAATCTCATCAATGTCCGATGAGCTGGTGGTGCTGTAGTGATCCCCCCAATCACTGCATTGAACCTCTTCTCTTTCCGTCTCCGTGTCGTCGTGGTGATGCTTCTGTTGCTGGAATTGATGAGCGTCGTCTTTTTTTCCCTCGGATTTACTGTGGAAGAAGTTGTACTCCGATTGCTCCGTTTCGTCGTCGTAATCATTGTAACCGTCGTTTCGATGAGGCTTCGGTTGTACCTGAGTTCGGGATCGACTCTGGAAAAATTCGGAGGGAGGTGGAGATGGAGGACAGAAACTCTCCCAGTTCCAGACAGAGGAGGCTTGAGAAGGAGTACTGGAGTAAGTCGAGTTAGGATAAGCAGTGGGAAAAAAAGCAGAAAAGCCAGATTTCTCACTCCTTGGTGAAGAAGAAGGATCCGATTCAGAGAGAATATGAGGAAGCTTTGGCATCTGTTTACGGCGGCGGTGTTGCCGCTGTGAAACGGAAGACGAGATACTCGACGCAGAGAGGATATGCGGGAGCTTGGAGCTCGCTATGGTGCGCGACGGAGAGGATGAAAACGATGGCGGCGCTGGAGGAGGATGAAGAGAAGGAGACGGCGACGGAACACTCGGCGGGACGGAATTCGTACTAAAAACACGCCGCTGCGGCTTATGTAGCTGGGGAGGGTTTTGGGTATTGTGAAGGAAGACAGTGGGGGTTTGGTCGGAAACGGAGAAAGGTTCGCCAGCAGCGAAGGCACAGAGAGCGGAGCCGGTAAGGCGAAGAGAGCGGCAGTAATCAGCGTGTGCGGCGGCCAAGTGGTGGCGAGAATAGACGGCCTCTTTCATGAGACGGCGGCGCTCCTTGCACCGCCGCACAGTGTCTTCATGGTCTACCTTCGAAGCTGCGCAGCCCATTCGGTGGAATCAATGCGCCGACGGAGGCGGCAGCGGCGGTGGGGGAGGGAGGAAAGTGAGCGAAGTGTTATTGGAGAGTGGAGAGTGGGAAGTGAATGAATCTATGGGACTAATTTTCCACGCAATTCTTTCGCTCATCCAACGCCCATTTTGGTCTCTCTTTCCTTTCCTTTTACTTTTTCTCTTTGAGACACCAAATTTGGACCATTTTTATTTTCCTCAACTTGTGTGTTGGGTGGGTGAGGGAATATCTTACTTACCTATATTAATATCTCCATTTTAAATTTATTTATTTATTAAATTATAAATATTTAAATCTCAATTTTAATTTTATTTCATTTTTTTAAATTACAAATTTGCCCGTATTTAGTTCCGATTAGAACATTAGGTATGGTTACGAAATTTTCTTGAACTACAGGGGATACAATTGTAGTAAATATTGGGTTCTATTGGATTAAATTCGGTTTGGTTTGGTTCTGTTAATGGGCTGTTTTTTTGTCGTATCAACGACCTAAAAAATAGGGTTACAACTCAACTCTATCTTACCCTACTTTTCACTCGGGTTGTCATCTACGAATGTCAGAGTTAACCAAAGTAGGATTAGAATTCAATTCTACCTTACCCTACTTTTCACTCTGGTTATGATCTACGAACGTCAGGGTCAACCAAAATAGGGTTAGAACTCAATTCTATCTTACCCTATTTTTCACTCTGATTATGATCTACGAATGTCAGGGTTAACCAAAATAGGGTTAGAACTCAATTCTATCTTACCCTATTTTTCACTCTAGTTGTGATCTACGAATGTCAGGGTTAACCAAAATAGGGTTAGAACTCAACTCTATCGTACCCTACTTTTCACTCTGGTTGTCATCTACAAATGTCAAGACTAACCAAAATAGGTTTAGAATTCAACTCTGTCGTACCCTACTTTTCACTCTGGTTGTCATCTACGAATGTCAGGGCTAACCAAAATAAGGTTAGAACTCAATTCTACCTTACCTTACCTTACTTTTCACTCTGGTTGTCATCTACGAATGACATGGCTAACCAAAATAGGGTTAGAACTCAATTCTACCTTACCTTACCCTACTTTTCACTCTGGTTGTCATCTACGAATGACATGGCTAACCAAAATAGGGTTAGAACTCAATTCTACCTTACCTTACCCTACTTTTCACTCTGGTTGTCATCTACGAATGACATGGCTAACCAAAATAGGGTTAGAACTCAATTCTACCTTACCTTACCCTACTTTTCACTCTGGTTGTCATCTACGAATGACATGGCTAACCAAAATAGGGTTAGAACTCAATTCTACCTTACCTTACCCTACTTTTCACTCTGGTTGTCATCTACGAATGACATGGCTAACCAAAATAGGGTTAGAACTCAATTCTACCTTACCTTACCCTACTTTTCACTCTGGTTGTCATCTACGAATGACATGGCTAACCAAAATAGGGTTAGAACTCAATTCTACCTTACCTTACCCTACTTTTCACTCTGGTTGTCATCTACGAATGACATGGCTAACCAAAATAGGGTTAGAACTCAATTCTACCTTACCTTACCCTACTTTTCACTCTGGTTGTCATCTACGAATGACATGGCTAACCAAAATAGGGTTAGAACTCAATTCTACCTTACCTTACCCTACTTTTCACTCTGGTTGTCATCTACGAATGACATGGCTAACCAAAATAGGGTTAGAACTCAATTCTACCTTACCTTACCCTACTTTTCACTCTGGTTGTCATCTACGAATGACATGGCTAACCAAAATAGGGTTAGAACTCAATTCTACCTTACCTTACCCTACTTTTCACTCTGGTTGTCATCTACGAATGACATGGCTAACCAAAATAGGGTTAGAACTCAATTCTACCTTACCTTACCCTACTTTTCACTCTGGTTGTCATCTACGAATGACATGGCTAACCAAAATAGGGTTAGAACTCAATTCTACCTTACCTTACCCTACTTTTCACTCTGGTTGTCATCTACGAATGACATGGCTAACCAAAATAGGGTTAAAACTCAACTCTACCTTACTCTACTTTTCACTCTGATTGTTATCTACGAATGTCAGGGTTAACCAAAATAGGGTTAGAACTCAATTCTACCTTACCCTACTTTTCACTCTGGCTGTCATCTACGAATGTCAGGGTTAACCCAATGGTACGATTCAAATACTTTAGTAATTAGGGTGACGTGGAGAGGGGTGTAAATGGCACCTGCAAGATGGGTGATGTCCAGAGGAGTCGAAATTCTATACATTTTTTTAATAAATTTAAAAATTAAAAAAAAAAAAAAAAAAAAAAA